GGAGAAAGGAAGGAGGAAGGAAGGAAGGAAGGAAGGAAGGGAGGAAAGAAAAAGAGGAAAAAAAGGAAACCAATTTGCATTTGAAAACAGTTTTGTGAACTACTCCATGTTTGAGAATGGCTCATAATATTTTATTTATTTTTTATATCTGTTCCCATTTTACTTCTAATAAAAGAGACAAGTCCTTGTTTAAAAGCTGTCTGAAAATGTAATGACACTTTGCACTGGACTAGTGTTAACATAAAAACAGCTCAAAATGCTTAGGATAAAATGAAACCACGAATTTTATGTCCTTCATCCGCCCGTTGCACGGCCCGGCCCCTGCGGTGAAGGTGACTCCAACCCAGGCGCCCCGACGCCTACCTAGAACCACTTTTCTGGAGTTTAGGCATCTTCCTTTAGGCCACGCATTTGAGCCTCCCCGACCTGGACCCTCCCGCTGGGGCCCTGATGTCTTCATGATTCTGGAAAGTCCATTATGAAGAGGTGTGCTGTCCTAGCCTTGGCCTCCCACCCGCCTCCATGCCGGCTTGGAAGTCTCTCCCTCCTGGCTCCTGCCAGAGGCAAGAGTTGTCCAGGGGAGGGAATTCAGTTTAGAATCACATTCAAAGACATTCCGATGTGTCTTATAAAAAACATTAAAAACGGGCAGAGTAAGCCTCCACCAAGAGCAAAACAGAGCTCGCGAGAAAACCCCATCCAAAGCATGCCCAGGTCCCGCTGGGGACGCAGTGGGGTTGAATATACAGCAGGGGCTGGATAATTGCTCACTGTTGTTAGTTTACGAGGCTGTTGTGCAGACCAAAGACCAAACTATTAAAATCCCCACTGGGAGCTCAAAACCTTATTTTGCACCTTCCCCCACACTGTGGAAAGAGGAGGGGTGGGGATGGACAGCAGCGCTGAAGCCCCTTTAGGGCAGGCCAGCATGGGCTTTCCAGAAGGACCTCCAGCCCGTAGGTGACCCAGGGGCTTCACAGTCCTTCTCCCATTTGATCCAGGGTCTCTTGCTCCAAATGGGCGACAGCCTGGTCTGAGGCCAACTTCTGCCCTGGCTGCATGAATTCCCTAAATACAAGGAACCACAAAGTAGCACCAATGGGCAGCCTAAAACAATAGATCTATTCTCTCCAAGTTCTGAGGGCCATAAGTCTGAAATCAAGGGGTTGGTAGGGCCCTTCCTCCAAATCCTCTGGAGTAGAATCCTTTCTGTTTCTTCCAGCTCCTGGCAGCCCCAGGCATTCCTTGGCTTGTGGCGGCATCACTCCCATCTCTGCCTACCTCTGTCATCACATGGCCTTCTTCTCTGTGTCTGTCTCTGTCCCAGTCTCCCTCTCCTTTCTAAATGACACCAGTCATTGGATATAGAGCCCACCTTAAGCCAGTACGACCCCTTCTTAACTTGATTACATTTGCAAAAACCCTATTTACAAATAAGGTCACAATCATGGGTACCTGGAGCTAGGACTTGAACATACCGTTTTGGAGGATGCGATTAAAGCCATTGTAATAGGTGGCACCAGGCGTGATCCTTGTGGCCTCTGGGCCTCAGTTTCCTCACCTGTAAAATGAAAGCCCTTCAGCTCTGACAGTCTTGGAGGCAATGAAATGCTCTGCCGACGAGAAAACTAGAATTGTCCTCTGACCGGCACAGTAATGATGTGAGTTAACTTGTATTTTACTGAGCCCTTTTGATGTGCCAGGCACTACGCTAAATGCTTGACATACTGATCTCAATGAATCCTATGAAGCAGGCGATGGCATCACCCCATTTTACAAACAAGGACGCTGAGGCTTGGAGAGAGGCTTGGATGCTTGTCTAGTGTCATGCAGCCAGGTCTGGGGGACTCTTCCCCATATCTGGCCTCTGAGAGTAGAGTATCCTGCAGCTCCTCTGGCTCTGGGCCCAAGAGGGTCTGGACATGCAGGAGGGAGGACTTGACCCCTGCTGTGTCACAGCCCTTGGGCACCACGCGTTGGAGCCAGGCCCTGCCGCCTGCCTGTCGCCCAGGCTCCTATCTTTAGAAAGCTCCGTGGCCCCTGACCTCCCTCCTGTCAGCAGGAGCAACCTCGTTTCCTCCATCTGCCTCCCATTAAGCCTCGGTCGCTCAGAACCTTCTTTTTTCTTTCCTCGCCACTGCCCCTCACTGCCCTGACAGCCTAGCCACTTTCTGCTGCCCACCTCTGGGGTTCCTCAGCAAGTTGGGGGTTCCAGGGCCAAACACCTAGCACTTAGACCCTGGCAGGGTCTGTCCCTGTTTCCTACCCCCCAGGGAGTTTAGGAGTCACTCGACTATCTAATGTACAGCGAAGGATATAACCTGAATACATAAAGAATTGTCAAGAACCAACGAGAAAGCAAAAAACGCTAATAGAAAAATGGGCAAGGGACATGCACGGGTGGCTCACAAAGGATGAAAAACTGTCGACAGACACAAGGAGAGAAGTTTAGCCTCTCCGGCTGCCCAACACCAACAGTGACAAGAGCTGACATAGAGGACTGACCATGTGCGAAGCTCTGACCTACTGCAGTTCAACAAGCAAGTTGCAGAAGAGTAGGTATTGTATGCTCCCATTTAGGCGAAGGTGTGGCGTGCGTGTGCGTGGAAGCATGTGGATGTGGATGATTCTCGATGCCCCCAAGCTGAGATGTTAATGGTGGTTGTTTCTGGGTCCCGGGGTCCAGGGAACTGTTATCTTCTTTGTGCTTCTACGTATTTTCTACCTTTTTATCAATGACTGTAACTCACCTGAGACTCAAAACGCTAAATCAGCCAGAGGCAGGGAATCGGGCTCTGAACGTGCCTCTTATACCTACAGTTGAAGGTGAGGCCACGGGCACCTGGGCAAGGCCCCGGTCTGGCCACCAAACCCTTTCTCCTCCCAATTCCATTGAGTGACGTCTCCGCACGCAGCTCCCCTCCCCCGGGCCCCCCCAGCCTGCCCTGGTGCACCCTTCGCTTCTCTCCCCGGTCCTCTGGGTTACCGTAGGGCCCAGCCTGACTGTATGAATGACAAATTGACAATGACAGCAGCCTTTGGTTGACTGTGTCCTATGTCCTGTGAATTAGACTAGAAGCTTAACACGCATCATGTCATTGACTCGTCGTCACACCCCAGTAAGGAAGAACTAGCAGCATTCCCATGTCACAGTCCAAGAAACTGAGGCTCAGATAGATAACTGACCAACTCGGGGTCAGGGAGCTAGTGAGGGGCCCGGGTGGGACTCGAACCCAGAGCCTGGCTCTTAAGCTTCTCCCGGGAGCCCCGTCTCAGGACACCTACCTCCTACCCCGTCACTGTCTCACACACACACAGTCTTGCTCACACATGCACACTATCTCACACAGGCTCACATGCGCCCACATGTCTGCACACAATAGACTCACACTCACACTCACAGTCCCTCGCAACGCTCACACGCTCGTCTCTCACGCTCGCTCTTACACTCTCACAGACTTGTGCACACCTATATTCACACTCACAAGACATAATCACACTCTCACCCACTGTTATGCTCTTGCACACTCACCAACATGTAGCGTCTCCTCCACTCTCTCACACACACTCACATACACACACGCGCTCTCTCTCACACACGCCCAAAGTGGGTAGCTCCTGGAAAGGGAGGCGTCCCTGGCCGCGTCTAAGCCCCTTCACCCTCTGCAGGTCCCTCTGCCCGGGAGGGGCAGCCAGCAGCTAGGTCTGTCCTTTATGCGGCCCTCGTGAGAGAATTTGGGTGACAGGCCCCCTTTTAATTTCTCTCTCTTTTCATTTGATGGCGTGTCCAAAAAGCGAGACCTTTGGAAAGCGTGCAGCCTGCCACGGGGCACCTTGCTCTTCCTCCTGCATGCGGGGCCTGCAGCCTGAGCCCTGGCAGGTCCCGGGGGCACTGGGGCGCAGAGGTGGGGGGCTGGGCCTCTGCAGAGTGGTCAGGTTCCTCCTGTCTGTACCTCTCTCCATGCTTGATCCTTCTTTCCTCCTCCCCTCCCCCTCACTCCACCCTGACCTCCAACCCTCATGACCCCAGTGTGTCACCAACCAGGGGTCCAGCCTGCTTGGCCCTCTTCGGCCACAGTCCCCGTGCTGAAGGACAGGGCCCCAATGCCCTTCTCCCAGAGGCCCGACCCTCTGTGGGGAACTGCGGGAACAGGAGCGGGTAGTAGGACATTGGCCGGGCCAGTGGACGGCTTTCCTGTCCCTTTCCTCATTCTGTTTGCTCTCCTGAGAAGCACTCAGGGGCGTTTCGGGGACTTAGATGCTTAGGGAATGCAAGCCCCAAGGATCTCTAGGCCCCCAGTGGCCTGCTCTGCTTCTGCCCCTCCTCGTGGCCCTGTGGGAAACCTGCCTCTGCCGGCCAGAGCCCCCGGCCCCCTGACACCCGTCCCCTGCCCCACACCAGGCACTGCTAGCTGGTCCTGGCGTCTGGCTGTGGTGTGGGGCCTGTGAGAGCCAGTGACGAGCCGGGCTAAACCCTGGCGAAGCTTCCAGATGGACTGCCGAGGGACCTCCCTTTCTCTGCCATCCCTGAGTGCCCACATCAGAAGCCCTGCCTGACCTCCCGTCTCTTCTGGGCGAAGTGAGACCTCAGGGCCCCCAGAAGCCCAGGGGACAGGGTGAGAAGGTGCTGAGAGCCTGTCTCATCCCCATTGGGCTCCCATAACGCATTATCATAGACTGAGTGGCTTAAACGACCGACATACATTTATTACCCACTGTTTTGGAGGCTGGGAAGGTCAAGGTCGAGGTGCTGCAAGGCGAATTTCATTCTGACGC